GCCTTTAAGACTTCTTTCTTGAAGAACGTCCAGCCTTCCTGGACCCCTTTGCCCTTCAGGACTGTCTCCCAAGGGACTCTCTCAACCAGTGTCCTGAACAGGCCAAAGTCCGCCCTCCAGAAGTCCACGGTTGCAGTTTTGCTGCCCCCCGTCCTTACTTCACCAAGAATTGAGAATTCTACCATTTCATGGTCGCTAAGCCCAAGACGGCCTCCGACCACCACATCTCCCACCAGTCCTTCTCTGTTTGTAAACAGGAGGTCGAGCGAGGCACTTCCCCTGGTAGGGAAGTTGTGTGTGTCAAGAAGTGTCTTACACACACTCCAGGAACCTCTTAGACTGCTTCCTCTCTGCTGTGTTGGATTTCCAGCAGATGTCCAGGAAGTTGAAGTCCCCCACGAGAACAAGGGCTAGCGATTGAGAGACTTCTGCCAGCCGCTGATAATGATAATGTTCAACATGAGAGCAAACCCAGGATTTTTACAATCTAGACTTTATGAAAAGCCTAGATGCCCTCAGGCATTTTCAAATCACTACAATGTTCTGTGAGGAGCTTACCAGACTTCCATAAATGTTCATGGAAAACAAGTTTCAAGAAAAAAGGAATTCAATTTTTCTTCCCGCCAGCAACCAAACGTGTCACAGTAATCACTCCAGCCTCAAAGTCCAAAGAAATTTCAGGAAAGTTAGCGTTATTTCAAGCAAAATTAATTCTAACCTATAACACCACCAACTATATGCAGAGTACAATAGAAAATGTCTTCTTCTCCATTCTATTCCACGATGCTTCTCTTTTCACTTTTCCTCACTTTCAAACCCTCACCTCCCTCCCAGGAGCATCTGTGCAATCTCTCTATCTACATATCTGTGTGTCATTCAGAAATAAGAGTATGAGGAAACTGAATGATCTCTACTCTAAGTGATTGATCTTTCCACTCAAAATTATTTCTGTTTCTTTCTCTCTTTCTCTCTCCTTTTTATCATCCAGCAGAATGTTTCCCACAAGAGTCTAAGGAGCTCGAGTTTGACTGTCTATGTGCCAAATACCAATACACATCATATCTGTTATCCAATGAATGTGCAATGGCAAGCATGAAGCACTGAAAAAAAATGAAGATCAACATATTGTGAACTTCAGCCTCAGAAGCCTGGACTGTATACATATATATATAGAAACTAAATCTGTGGGGTTTGAATGGTATTCTGGTTTTAACTTATGTTAAATGCAGTCAGGTTAAAAACAAAACAGAGTGGGATACAAATCTATGGACAAAGTATATGGGAGATGTAATGATGCAGCTGAAAATAGCACAAAGCATTATTAGATAAATCCCACCTAATTCACTTCTTTGGCAAGGCTGGAGGAATTGAAGGAGCAAGGTTTGACATCTATTTTCATTTTGCATGAAGAACAAAGTTCTTTATACCCAAACAACCTTTCTAGCCCACATAAACTTGTCTTTCTTTTATTCTAACGTAGGTACAGAAGAAAACAGTTTCCCAGTGATTTCCTGTCCCCCCCGCCCCAGCTCTTGTTCTGCAGTCGGATAAAGGCTGAGCTTCTACAGAACAGATGGGAGACTTCCAACCCAAGGAAAGGGCTTATAATTGCAAGTATTAAGGAAGTTCCATGAAAACAATACAAAATTCTCATTATTATTTCACCACAAATACAGAATTCAAAAGTAAAAAGTTCACAGAAAATGTAAAAACACAGATATTACCATTTGCTGAAAGTAAGCAACATTATAAAAAATTTAAAAAAAACCAAAAACAAACAGAAAGAATGCTCACAAACTATCTTCCTTACCAAATGGGGTGTGGTAAGGAAGGGTTAGGGTTAGGGTTAGGGTTAGGGTTAGGGTTAGGGTTAGGGTTAGGTTACACAACTGGGGTGTGTAACCCCAGTCCATCTAGCTGTGAGAAAACTCCTATTTCACAAGACAATAGAGTTTAGGATGAGCTCCCTAATCAAAGAAAATTTGCTAAAGAAAGTAAAACGCCACTAGGAGACTACAGTCTTCCAATATTCTTTAAATCCACAATGAACTGGAATTATACAAATTACACAAATTACACTGGAATTATTATGTTGCTGGAGGTCATGTTTAATAGGATAAGTCACTGAACCAAGGTTAGGGCCACCTGCAGATGCTAGTCATCCAACGACACTGCAAGGAACAGAATATCAATCTTATTGACCAGGCTGATTTCAAACACAAGTCATTACATTCTGCATATCAATATTCCTATTTAATTTCATTTCTATTTTATCAATGCGTTTCAACAGAAGTGGCTGTAGTTATTTCTCTATATGAAGATCGTTAGGTATTGTGGAGTCTACTACAATGAACAGCTTGTGTAAAAATTAGCCCTAATGATAAGCTGAGAAATTATATGTAAAAGAATTATTCTCACTGTCAACCCCACATGAATTTCTTAACAGGCAAACATTTAAAAAAATAAATAAAAAATTCCAAGACCCATTAAAGAGGCTCTCCATTCTTTCATCATAAATATTATCCACTGTTGTCATCTTGTTTGGGTTTTTTTTAAAGTAACAGAATTACAATAAGCAGGTCAGAAAGCACCAAACTGTAGTTAAAAAAAAAAATCCCTATTTAGAACTTCACACACACACACAAAAAATCACTGATGCTACATTTAAAGCATCTAAGTCAGAATTTTCAGTTACAGTCAACCAGTTAAATAGATATAAATATACATAATTGCAACTGTCTACAACAGTGACAATTGCTCTCTGACAAAGCTGAGTATACATACAGTACTATACTTTCTGGGCTTATTCCAAAAATAAGACTTTCAAACAAAGCTATGCAGTTAATATGAAAAGTCTTATGATGAAAAGTAAGACTTTTTCATAAATATCAGCCTTTTCACATGAATGGAATATTTCGTCTGTACTTATGAGACCACAGACATGAATACCTACCCTGCATTATTACTGACTGCTGTTATTTCCTTTACTCCAGTCTTCAGTAAACCACCAATGAGGTTTTCAGGAATCCCACACAATCCAAAACCTACGTAAAATAAAAGAAAACTGAATATGTAACAAGTGTTTGAAAAAACACAGATAAATCAGAAGTCTGAGAAAGTGCACTGTTTAATTAAAAATCTTTTCTGAGTAGAACAAGCTCCTTAGTTGACTAAATAAACGAACACTTCTGGAAAGAGTTGTAGCCTAGTAGTGGAATCTCCCAGTGACTAGATGCTTCCCAGTTTGGATGAAAGCCATTTCACCATCAAAGGTCTGCTCACACACAAATGGCCTCTGGACAAGGGCTCCAGGACCTTGGCTCTCCTGATGTGTGCCTTAACCACTGCACTCATTATTCCTCCTTCTCTTTCTACCCAACTAACCTTCAGTTCTTTGCTGCACATAATAATGTCAAACAGGAGGAGCGAGGAGTTCTCCCATACAGCTTAGCCTATAAGTAGGTGATAAAAATCTGGGAATATTAATGCTCTTGGAAAGATGTGTAACTGGAAGCACAGTAAGCCAGATCTCCACCCAGGCTGAGGTGCCTCACACTCCTACCTATTACGCAAGGACCCAATATGCCTAGAATGAAGACCATGCAACATTTGAGGCGCCTAAGTCTTAGGCCAGGCTCTAACACTACAACTACCACCATTTCCTTCCCAACCACTTAGCCTCATATCTTCTTTTGTTCCAACAACAACAAGAAAATACAATAATTCTTCCTAGAAGGCATTTTGCCTCATTACACATCTCCAGTGAGGTTTCCCATGTTTTACAACATTACATTCATTACTTCTTCAATACTAAAAATCACTTATAACCTACTAAATAGAGAGATTGCTTTTCTTCCGGTAGGTTGAACAGCATGAAATTGTGGAAATCATCTAGAATGTTTAAAAGCTCAAATCACAGTGAAAGTCAGCATGACACAACTTCTTGATTCTTCTGGAAACGCTACACATAACCATTTAGTGTAACGTAGATAAGTATTATCTTAACCTCCTACACCTAGAAACAGATCAGGTGATTTGTTCAAGGTCACAGAGACTCAGCGACTAGGCAGATACAGAATATAGAGAACGCTACCATAAAAATAATCAAACCAAATTTTATTTCTTCACCATCCGAAATAACAATGTTAACTTGAAAAAGCCCAAGTTGATTTTCTGCATTCAAACTGGCACAAGTCAGGTCTAACACCTCACTAATGGGGGAAAAAAACTAATGATCTTTCTGAGGCTTTTTCCCTCCCCTAAGAAACAAACTGGTATTTTCTCACTGAAAGAGTCCGCCCCTCATTAGCAGAGTAGGAAATCACTTGTTCAAAATACCCATACAAGTATATGGATTCTCAAATTAGTTAATATTAAAAGAAACATGGTAAAATGGTAAAAATCTCTCATTAATAAAACATGTGATTGCATCCAGAAAGAATTTAAATATTTACCACCAACAAGTACGGTTGCCCCATTGGGTATATCTTTTACAGCTTCAACAGGATCAGAATAAAATTTGGTGTTGTGGTGACAGCTGGTAGAAAAATAGCATCCACAAATCTGGAACAACATTACAAGAAACAAGTGAATTAATAAAAAGCATTACATAGTAGCTTTATAATGATGACCATCCCTCTGGCTAGATAAGGGGGGAAATATACAAAAAAAGATATTGCTGCTGTAAACGCTAACATTGGGGAGGGAAGAAGGGTTCAGCTCCACAAAACAAGGACTCTATTGTCTCTCTATCCCCCACATCACCCATATTTTATGACATTTCTATGTATTATGAAGGCTTTAGGCTTAATATGAGCTGCATCAATTTGACAATATCCAAACAGATTTTAAATCTTTTAATTCCATCCTAAACTGCTGACAAATTGTGACTTATTGTGAACAGAGTCACAAATGCAATTCCTCAGCACGAGTTAGAGCAACCCAAAGACTGCTCTAACCTATATATTGCTACTTGTAGCTTCAAAGATATCCAGACACTAAACATAACCAGAAATTGCTGAAGCAGAGAGCCACCACCACCACCAAATTTGAGTGGAGGCCAAGGAACAATATGAAGTACAGAGCTGTGCCGGCAGTTTAGTAAGCAGGGACTCCCTTCAGTGGAGTGAACCTTCCCCCAGCTTCCTAACACAGTCTGAGAGCTCTTTGTGTTGCTGAAGAATAGCCCACAATCAGGGAGACTCCAACAAATTGATGAAATAGGGAGGGCAAGAGGGAAATCTATACAAATCCCACCCCCTAAACTAGACATCACAGTGCAAAGCCATTACATAGTAACCATCATAACTCATCTATTATATTCTTAGGTCACAGTTACCCTAACCTTTTTTTTTTTTCCTTCTCTAAGTACTTCCCACTAATACTACCATGCATTAATATTAATCAAGTACTGTCCAGGCACTAGGAGCAACTGACATTTAAGTCACTACATTGACATGATCTCCATAAATTGAGAGTATTTGGAAATTAAAATACTACCTACTGGCATTTCCACTTCTAATTTGATAGTAGAAGTGAGAAATTTTAAACAGGGAAGGAAGGAGAAGGATGAGTAAATAAAGAATAAACAAGCTAATCTACACACATTTTAAAGACAATAGCCTAATTCTTCCCTAAAGAGTTGCCTTAAGATCCAGTTACAACCAAGGCAATAATTTTTGGCTCAGTTTCAAGATTACACAAACTGCCTTCTTTATAAAATTAAGGCTGCAAGAGTTTACACTGAATATTAAGAAAACCTTTCTGAATGGAGGCTTATCTCCTTCTCAGTGGAAACGTTGATGTTCCTCTGCTTTGATAGGCTCCAAAAATCAGTACGTGGGTCATAAGGAACAGTGCCAGCTGAGAAAGAGTAAAAGACCCTTCCCCATGCTCAATTATACCATGACTATTTCTTTCAGAAACATTTTTTCATAAAGACAGTAAGACTGCAAAGAGCGGCTCTTTTGGTCATGTTCGGTATGCAAGTGACAAAATGAGTATTAAGTGCTGGCAGCCTCGGAAGCCCCGGTACAACAGGGCTGCAAGCAGGCATGAGGGCCAGGGCTGGAGGGAGGCCAGGCCACTGCCATGTCACTGTACCCACACATAGGACAATATTTTAAAGAGACCACATGGTACCTTTTCTTTAATCTTCCCAACTGCCTGTAACAGTGGGGAACAACAGAGCAGCATGCGTTACATGTGTGCATTCCCAGGTTGGATGTCTCCAATGAGGGTATCCGCCCTTCTATACTAAAGATGTTCTTTTTAGTCCCTTTCCCACCCACTCTGCCGTTTGAGGGCAATGGGCTTTTCAGGGAGCTGAGGTGCCAGGCATCACTCACCCACCCCTGCACACCAGGGCAGCAAGCTAAGGCCTCAGGAGATGGCTGCAATTCTGGCAGCTGAGGTTTACGAGAGAAGTAACATGGGGACAGATCAACAGAATCAAAGTAAATTTTATAGAAGGGCAAAATATAACTTAGCAAAACAAAGACTGAAAGAGCTATGATTATTTGTCCATGAAGACATCAGGAGGAGTAAACACGGGCATGAGGAGAGCAGATGAGCTGTTTCAACTAAAATAAGAAAAGCCACAGAAACAATTCCGGCTGAAGAGACAAAAAATTAACTTGGCTATGGTTACACGTGGGCTGGAAACCATTAGATCAGTGACGTTTGGCAGAAGCTTCCCCCAGGAAGAGCAAAGCAAGCAAGTGAGCTAGCTGCACGGCTGAACCCCACAGGTTTATGAATGGCAATAGGCGGCAGGACTGCCAGGGAGCTGTGCTCACTGACCTGCTGCCTACACCTGCAGCCTACCTCTAGGAAAGACCGACGTGGTGAGAGCAAGATTGAAATATACAGTAACATATTGTAATTGTGCTAGGTTTCAAATGCAGGGGGAATAAAAAAATTAAACGTCAAGGCCAAACCTTTGGGCCGGTCCCCCAAGGCCACCGCATCCCAACCCACCACCGGGGCCAGGCCTGCCCCGGCGCCGCGCTCTGCCCTCCTCCCCGCCGCCCGCCTTCCGCAG